CCCTCACTGAATACTTTACTGTGGGTTTAAGCCTTGCCCCAGCTTTGTACGTTCCTTGTATCTTCGTTCGTCCTGCACTCACCTGTCGCAGAATGGACCGCAACAACGTGGCTCGGAGCCTTTCTGTCTGGCGGGCCGAGGCGTAGGCGAAGAATGCAACTTGGAAGGCGGAGACCAGAAAGGTCCCTGCTCCCAACGCCGACATGGCGAGGGCGAGTTGATTGATCGTGTCTTTGAAGGAACCTTGACCAGTACCGATTTCGTCCAAAATTGAGCCGAAGATGATCATGAACACAGGCATGGCCACACCCGTGGCACAGGCACTCAAGGTGCCCAAGAACATGCAGAACCAGTCCAAGCCGTCCGCGAAATAGAAGAGGTCCGAAAACGGAACCAGTTCGACCTTAGGAGCTGGAGGTGCAGGTGTCGAGGCGGTAAGGGCGTCCTTGTCTTTAGCATCGCCGGCCGACGGAAGAACTGCTGCATTACTAACCGCCATCTGAAAAATGGGGAAGAAAATGCTGCTGGCAGGGAGAGGGAGCGTACAAAGTAATGAGGACATACGCGCATCATGCATTAGCGGCGTCACATAAGAATTGACCTAGATTATGCTCGGGGTTCGTTGTACTTGTGTCGGACATCCCTAACAACACGTACAAAAATGATCGACCAAGTCAGGTTATCATTTCATGATTTATCATGTCTTTCATGGTGAGGTCTTCCCATGGGAGCAGGGGCGCCCATCTAAATACGAATGCTCCTCCGAGGGCGCGCAAGTTTCAAATCTCATGGTCATAGGCGAGATGTTCCATAAAAGCAGCAGCACAACGCGTTCAAATGGTGATTTCATACTTTTCTGTTCTAAGCGTATTGATGCCGCAGCGTCTCAGCATCACCTCTCGAAATTCAAAGAAGCAAGGAAGCTTGAAGGGTGACGCGTAACGGATTTCCAGAAATCCGTTACTGTCCGACCGTTAAGGCGTCCCCGTGCCCTTGTCCAACAAGGCCCTTCCCTTGTTCATTTTTTTCTTCATTACTTGTATTAATTTAATTTTGACCGGTTCAGCTAAATTTTGTTTTTGGGGAAGGCAAGCGGGTGGTTAAATTACCCATTAAAGTTTGGTTTTGTGGTCTTGAAACAATTAGCGTAGTGAAAATAGTTAGAATGTCAGCAACGTGCTTGAAAGACATAAAGAGCACAATGTACAAAATGGTGTATTTCGGGGCCTACAAAAATTTCAGCTCATGGATCGGACCGGATTGTGAAATAAAGCAGGCCTGATGGTTCTCCATAAATAGAAAGCTTTTGTTTTAAGAACTCGTCCATGATCCAAATAACCGCCAAGTGCAACGTACATCGAACGAAAACAAATCGTCCCTAATTTTTTCGCTGATTTCGTTCTACGCCGTCTGTTTCGCACTTTAGTATCGCTGCCCCCGACATCGCGAGGTTACTTTAGCTGCCTTTTTCCCATTTTGACTTCTTACCTGGCCTTTCTACAGGCAATTGCAAGCCTCAGACGCTTATGTCCTTGCGCATCGCATCATCATTTCTACACACAAAACAATTTACACTATGCTTTCAGAATTGAACTTTCTTTTCCTGGCTCTCCTCTTCTTTGTTCACCACTTGGTACCCTCTCCTTTGGCATGTGAACGCTGCCAAAGAGGCAGTTCACTCTCCCCGCCTTCCTCTCCTTCCTTCCGCGCCGGTAATGGCTTGTAGTACGGGACCGAATATATCTCGCAAATCTCCTGCGTGGCATTCCAGACCGCATTTTCACGGGCATCCAGGACGATCATCTGCTGTAGATTTGAGTCTACCTTAAAACGCATCCAATCCTCCGTGCAGTCTTCTATCATGGTGGTGAGATGACTCAGGTTTCGAACCGGAACGTCATTGAAAGTCAAGACCCGGGTCAGACGAGGGGGAAAGTACCCATCGTTGATCGGGTGTGGGAAGATTTCCGACAACACCACAACTTCCTCGTCCGCAGAGATGCGGCGAACGCTTTCGCAAAAGGATCGCAAGGCTCGGGTGGATCGGTCGGGGTCCAGAATCTCCCAGGACAAGGGCAAGAATAAGAGACCGCCCACCATCAAAAAGCTTTGCTTTTGCGGACGGGATGGGAGGATGGGGTGGCGTTTTTGCATCTCCCAGGTCAGGTTTAATTTGTGAAAGGTGTTGGCAGGAGGCAAGGCGGCACCATCCTCCCCTTCCACGACAGGCTCCTTTCGGAGGACCTCCACCCGCATCATGTCCCCCACAAAATGGTAAGACATTAAAAATTCAAAGTTGATGTAGTCCAAGTCCTTGAACGGCACCGTCTTGTCGTTCTGTAATTTGTGTCCGTCGATGGAGAGCACCACGTCACCCTTTTGCAAATGGGCCGCCGCATTCGTCCAGGCCGCGACCTCGATGACCAGACAACCCGTGTGGTTTCCCGCCACCGACTCCCTCAACGCCGCGTTGGTCAAGTCTTGCAGTTCGAAGCCTTGCAGACAGGCGCCCATGTCCTGCCCGTGCCGCCGGAAATCTTCTAGAAAGTGGTGGACGACTTCCACGGGGATGATGTACCTGGAGGGGAAGGGGGTGAGAAATATCCCAGAAGGGATGTCACAGGGAGCGTGTAAATTTCAGGAGAGCCTTGGCGCGAAAGCAAGCATTTATCCATCGCACTCCACACGAGGACCGAAGAAAAAGGGGCTTCCGCCAGCGGACATCCACCTGCTCTCTCTGCCTCCCTCCCAGCCGCCAGCTTTCTTCGCTATTCCCCATGGTTATGAGGACCCGAAGCCTCTGTCATACCATATATTGCTATTGCAAAACACCTTCTCCCTCACATAATTCCTTACCCAATGTTCTCGGATCCCCGATCGACCCGTTTCCGGTAGGCGATGCCCACGCAGTCCCCCCTCTCGTTCAAGACGGGGCCCCCCGAGTTCCCGGGATTGATTGCCGCGTCGATTTGAATGGCCAGGTACTCTCCATTAAAATGCAGCCGGGAGACAATGCCTTTGGTCAGGCAAATTTTCTCCCCCCCCCGCGGGTAGCCGACGACAGTGACCAATTCCCCCAGTTGCACATCCCCGGCCTCCATCCGAATCGCTTCCACCCCCTCCCAAAACACCTCATCCGGAACCCGAATGAGGGCCAGGTCGGAATGGTCGCTCTTCCCCAGCACTTCCGCTTTGAACAAGTCGGCATTGCCCGGTTTTTTCACGTTGATAACCACGGCGTCTGCCACGCAATGGCTGTTGGTTAAGAGGAGCTTCTCCTTCACATCGAAGGCCCAGGCGGTGGAGAAGGACGTGGACGTGGGCTGCCTGCTCCAAGGTCTGCGGAACAAGGGCGGGCAGGAGGTCACTTTCAGCTTGAAGATGCTGCCCATGACCTGTCCGGGGATACCTGTCAAGTCGATTTGCGTGGTGTGCTTGGTCGGTGGCAAGGCTTCCCCTCCATTGCTTCGCCACGTGTCGGGGGAGGACGGCGTGGGGCTATCGCTTTCGTCCGGAAAACTGCCTTCCTCGTCCTCGTCCCTTCCCGCGTTGCCGCTGCTCGAGGACGCGGGTGAGGCAGGCGCTGCAGCATACAGGGAGGTTCTGGTAGCCCTCCCCTTGATGGCCCCAAACACAGTTAAGGAAGGGAAAGAGGGCAAGAAATAGGATGTTTTTGTTCCAGGGCAGGCATTTGGAGGAGATGTGGGCGGTGGTGGTGCTATCGATTGCAGTCTTGATGATATCAAACCCGCTGGCTGGAAAAAGGCGAGACCAGGAGGCGGGGCAACAGCAACCAGCAGCATCATAAGCAAGGCTGCCAATCCCCCCATCTTCGCGGCCGTGAGTGAATTTTCTCTTATACTTCTTGCACTCATATCTGTTAAAGTTTGTAATTGGCGAAAAATTGTGAACGGCATCAAAAAGTGAGTCATACCGGTGTGGGAGCATCGCCAGCGGAAGAGAGAACGATATCATGCCTTTCGTTTCTAGGGGAAAAAAAAGGCAACATGACATGCGCTTGAGCCCGCATGAAAATATGAAGAAGTTCTCGGACCGCTTGACGTCTCTTTCGGAAGTGAGTATTGGGGCGTCGCGGCGTGCGAAAAAAAGAACAGACCCACTACTAACTACGACTCGTGTCGGTCCGTCATCGCTTTTCCGGGTCGCTTCGGCCGGTGTCCCGGTCAGGGCGTGCCGTCCACCACACCTCATCTTTTCTTGTGTTTCACCGACAGCGGCGTCCGTAGTCGTCTCACTCAATGAATATAACTAAATATTAGAAAGTAACGTCGTCCTGTAAAGGCTTTGAGTAAGGATCGTGGACCAAGATGAGAAAGCCGCACGCACGACCATTCAACCCGTACCCCCTCACTCCTTCCTGCTTTTTCACGACACGCCCACACGATGTCTGAAAACAGGATTGACGTCTTCGCACTTCTGACTTCCCTTTGTATATTGATAGGTGTGCTTGTGTGCATTTACTCGGCAGGAGTGGCCAGGAACCGGAGCAATGTCGATACAAGTTGTCGTCGATGATGAGAACATCCCCCAGCAGGGAGAAAAATTGCGAGCAGCACACGGGGAGAACCACGACCACCAATTCAAGTACATCAATAACAGTACCTACGACATATTTTTATCCTTTCGGCAACATTGGAAGCATTTTGGGGAATGATTTCTTTTAGCGCAGACTGGTGTTGTAGCGTTGGTCTGTCTCTCGTAGCGCTTCCCAAGAGCTCTCTTCGGCGTCGGACTACCTCCACAAATATTGGCCCGTTCGAGGCGTGGTGACTTTCAAATTTTAATGGAGCCCTTTCAAGTACTAGCATCCAACGATCAGCATGGCAGACGCACACACGAGGTTTTCCCTGAACATTTTTGGGGGAAATTCGGGGTAACGTGAACGAAAAAGCAGAGCGACTCGGTTCCCTCGACGCTACGTCCCTAAATAATTTTCTCTTACAAAAAGCGCTTTTTCATCAGCTCTTATTTGAAAAACTAAAACAGTACGATGACATGCAAGACAAAGTCGAAAAAAAGAGGTGTTTGGTAGCTTTCTTCGTTGTTAGGAGCAAGACAGGAAAAAGCAACTCCTGGAAACCAGGTTGACGTGTTGAATGAATCCAAAAAATTAATCTTTTTACCATCACACTCAACATTTGTAATATTGCTTTATCGGAACAATTTTCTCTGATAAACAAGGCAGCGGGAGATACGGCGCATTTGTATTCGGCGTTTGGTCGGAAGCAGCTTTTTATGTTAATATCCCGCTATGTACCGCAGACGGGGAATCAGGCGGGCAGCCCTGACGTCAGGTCCCAAGGAGCTGAAATTGCACTGTAGACGCGGTCGCAACCAGGCACAGGCGGCGTACGATGCAGTGCGAAGAATGCCTTTTTTAGATGGGTGACGTGAATGCGATGCGAGGACACTAGAGGGTTGGGAATGAGGTATTTCTTTCGATGGGAACTAACGGACTTCCGATTAGCTCGCTCGTTACCTGGCCTCCAGTTTTGGAATCCGCCCGCCAGGTTATGCCCGGTCTCGAATGCCTTGCAAACATCTATCGGAAAGCGCCATTCGCATCCTGAACTTTTAAGTACACTGGCATGGCCTAGGAGGGCATTTCTCGTCTTCTTTTGCGAGTTTTTCAGGGGCAACTTGAGTATGTCCCTTCCTCGGGGTTTTCACCACCTCACCACATGGGTAGCTGTCAACCCCCCCCCAGATATTGCTTTAAATACATTGCGTGGCCCTCTCGTGCATTCGGATTGGCTGCAATGGATGCGTTGTCGACGTTATGAATATACTCCATCTTCTTTCTTTATCGCTGTCATCCACAGGGAAGCTGCGGAAGCAGCCGAGGCTGACCAGGAAGGGCTTCGACAAGTGTTACAAAACGTGGAGTGGCCACAGTCGTATTCTTAGCACGGTCCCCCTCTTTCCATCCTTGTGAAGCAGAGGAGATATTTTCACAGATTACAAGTATTTCCACACGTTGCTTCCGTGCAAGACTTCGTGACGCGCAGCACATTAATCTCACTGGGTATCCCACATGCAACATGGAAATCACCACGGCCACGACCTGAGGCAGGAGCAGGAGCAGCCGTCCTTGGTGACATACGCACCAGAGAATCAGGGCATGGACATGTCCTTCTCAAGTAAGGCCGCAGAGACAAACCTAAGAATCTGCGCCCGAATGTCTCTTCTCCCAAGCGTGGCAACAGTTGTCGGCCGACTCCCCGCACCCGTTCTCGCCCACGTGATGAGTTGGCTCCCGGGGGAATGTGTGGTGAATTTCAGCACGTCCTGCCAGGCCACCGTCCCATACCTCCACTGTGTCCCCGCCCTGATCGTCTCGAACCCCAGGGCTCTGCCGTCCCTGGTGCGGCGGCTGGTGAAGGGGGACGGAATCCGGCATTTGCGCTCGTTGGAAGTGGAGAGATTGGAGCCGGAGGAAGAAGGGCATGGGGGCGACAGAGAAGAGGAGGAGGGAGGAGAGGAGGAAGGGCGTGGGGCCGACGGAGAAGAGGAAAAGGGAGAGGAGGAAGCGTCGAGCACGCAGAGGGGGGGGAAAGCCATGCGGTACGCGAAGGAGACGCTGGACCGCGGCGCGGGCACAGCCGCCCTTGCGTCCTACTCCGACCCCCCCCAACCCCACCCGCCATCCTCACCTGTGGCCATGCGTACCTTTGGGCGGAAGAAAATCACCCGGGTCTATCTGCATTTCTGGACCCGGGCTCTGTTGCGCGCCTTGATCGATCACCGACAGAAGGTGCCCGCCTTGACCCACTTAGGATTGAGCCAGGTGACCCTCCCCGACCCCGGCGCGGTTCTGGGTCTGCACGCCCTCCATTCCATCACCTCTCTCGCCCTGCCCTCCTTGGCCCCGTCCGAAAACCTCCCCCCTCGCCTATTGCCCGCCCCTCTTGCGCCCGTCTCGGTAGCCTTGGGCCCTCTCTCGGCCGCAGGCACAGGAGTCGCGTCCGGGGCAAGCGAGGCACCTTTCCTCCCCCCTCCAC